TATTTCCAAATCGATAAATGTAAATAGTTATTTTATCAAAAACCTAATGGTTTGAGTGGGTTTCCGACGTTTCAGATGTATGTATTATAAGTATGTATGCCATTTACGTCACTGTTTCTGACAGGCCATCTCTGTCCGCAGCATCACCAACTTCTGATAACTGCTCAATATGTAAAAGGGCATTTGACACAATTTTGGGTCCGTGAATAAAAAACTTGTGCAAAGTGGTAGGCATATTATACCTGTATTGTGGGCATATATTTGAAATTTTTCATTATTACCCTCATGGGCACTGGATACAGCAATAACCAACACGTGAATTTTTTTTATTAAATTAACATCTATTTTTGTTATTTCGGCACATTTTTTAGTGTTTTGGTGCGTTTTTTTATTTCTTTAGCTAATAATGTCATCTTGTCATTCATTGTTTGAGCGCATGAATTCATCATAAGCTTCGACGATTATAAAAAACAACGTTCGAACTTGTATCTATAAAAAATGCTAATAAAAACCCTTTTACCCGATTACTTGAAACTGCACAACACAGTCACTATTTGTCAAAACAAAGAATATTATTAAAATAAATAAAAACAAAATATTATTGTAAAAAAGAATATTATTAAAATATAAAACGGCATGTACACTAGAACTTTTTCACCGGGTTAACCTACTTTATGATGATTTATTTGACATATATGCAAAGGAATTGACAATTGAAACCCACTGGGTTAACGAAATCCGGTTAAATGTAAACGTACTATAAAAATATTAATTTTTTTTGGCATTTTCAATATAAATAACTACATCTAAATCACTTCCAAACACAATTTGATACTCAAATGTTAACGAAGTATTTGCTAAATAACCTGAACTTCATGGTTCCATTTAAAAATGTTCAACTTTTACAATATTTTTTAAAATAAATAAAATTTTCAACGGGAACGTTTTCGCTTTTTTCAGCCGTTTTTGGCACAAAAATTTCTATGAAGTTTGACTTTGAAGTTTCACTGCAAAAACACCAGACCACTTTTGGCATTTATTTTAACGACAAGTGATGTAGAATTTTATATACTGTTAACGGGTGCAAAAAATTTTAACGATACTTAAAATTTTATTTTTTAATTAATCCAAGAAAACAGGCTATTCTAACCCACTGTGCGATGTCTGCGAAGTTTCGTGAAAATCAGTTCAGATTTAGATATAGCTCCTACATATATTTTAGCAGTACATCATACCAAATAGCTTGTGTCAAGTTTGCTTTAAATTGATTTTCAAAGTTTAACATAGGTTTACATATAGATAAAGATCATATATTTAAGATCACATATCCATGTCAATGTTCCTTTAAAAATGTGACGTCTGTTAGGATACATATGTTGAATATACCCAAAGTGGTAAAGGGTATCATATAGTCGGCCCAGTCCGACTTTACTGCTTTCCTTACTGGTTTTTACATGCGGTAGCAGACTTACAGCCTGTTTTTGTAAAATTCCAAACGAACGAATTCGAGTGACTTACGACCAATCTCCTAGGTTTTGAAAAATATGTCATTTATTTTTGTTTTGAATCAGAAAACATTTATAAACATAAATAAAGGTTTGGTCGTAAGTCACTCGAATTCGTTCGTTTGGAATTTTACAAAAACAGGCTATTAGACTTTTTATCGTTTTGTCCGGTGTACCAGATTCTTAAAGAGGCAGCAAGTAAAAACGTCATAAAGGTCAGCCAATGTATGTACTTCCAATATAACTCAATAATTCCGCCTTAAGCTTTGACATTACCAATGTATAGCGCCCGATTCCCAAGTTCCTAGCTAAATGTTCCAAACAATATTATACCCAATTCCGCATTACTGTGAATTTATGTTCGATTTTTATTCATTTAGACCCCTTTTATCTATTTCAATTTAATTGGTTTTTACAATACATAATAATCATAACCCGGTGTAGTGCTGGTAGTTGTCGATTCCCTGGCGCCAACAATTATTCCCTGTCCATAGGTGTCGCCAAATTGGTTACCTCCAAAACTATGACCATAACTGTAGTCATTGAAGGAATTTCCTTTTACTTTGCCGGAACCGAAAATAAATGCAACTGGAACACGACCATTTTCTTCAGGACCTTCTTCTTTTGGCGGTTGTGCACTTGGCTGCACTGGTGCGAAAACGTTCCTTAAGTGTTCTAGTGGTCTGGGCAATGGAACCCTACGTCCAGGTTCAAAAAATTCAAAAAAATCCATGACCAAGTCTACCGTGACCGGGTCTACCATGCTCATGACGGTGGTGTGGTGGAGGCGGCGGTGGTGGTGCTGGGGATGCTTCGTCCTCAGATGGATCGACAGTAGTAGTTTCATTTTCGTCATTCTGCAACATAGTAAGCCTATTTTAAATGAAATCAAATACAAATTATATGAAATTCTTACTTGAGCCTGGCCAACGGCCAACAGGGCTAAGAGACCGAATACCACAAAGTACTTCATGTTACTTGATGAATATTCGATAGAGGCCAGATCTATTTATATGCACTATTTTCAGGTGTTTTGTAACATATTGAGATTATCCAATGTAATTTTTAATGGTTATGACAGATGACCAACAATACTCTGGGACTGCGTAATCACACTTTGTGAGCTGCATCTGGTCGGAAATATTCTAGAGAGTAAATATCGACATACCAAGTTATTATCAATGAAATATTTTCATCTGAGTCAATGTTTATGAAATAGACGTCTTCAAGTGACGTCTAAGGAAATTCAGAGTACAAATAAACAGATATACATATGTATATGCTTGTAAATAAACAGGTTTAGAAAAATATTATGAGAAAAAATATTGTCATTTTTTAAACACAGATAGGGAATGTTTTACCATTTTGAAAAATGATGTCAAAGTGTGCATTATATTCGATCATGGTATAATAATAGAAGGTAACAGCAAGTGTTGTTGTACAAAAAACGATACAACAACCACATGGAAATTTGTTGTTGTAAGTGTAAACAAATAAACAAATTATCATCAAATTATTTTTATTTTGAAAATGAAATATATTCGAATCCTCAAAATAAAAATTGAAAAACATTAATGAAAATCTATCAAATTTATATTTCTATCGCTTCCACATCTTTCCTATAATTGAGCCATGTAACACATATGAAAATGTTGGGAATAGCGAGTTATTCCTTGAAGAAAGATTTGCTTCCTCAAACTTTCCCAGCAGGCAGATTGAGTAAATTGAATACAGGAGCACATTTAATAAAGAACAATTTCAAATTGTATGCGTTCCCAATTTTCCTGTTGGGTGATTTTTAAAAACATAATTTGTCAAATTCATACTGACACTAGTATTACGTTGGAATCAAATCAGCTGGGATTTGCTGTTACCTTTTATAATTGTACCATGATATTCGATATTTATGCCCCCACCCAAGGTATATTAACCGTATCAAGCCAGCAGGTGATAATATTATATGTCACAACAATTTTTTTCATGAATTCGCCGAAAAAAAATAAAATTCAATTAAAAATGGAAATTAAGGAAGACAATTTCTGAAAAAACAAAACATATAGGTCATGTATAGGATACCTTCACATGAACTTCTTTAGGAAGATCTTTTACTACTACACGAGAAGAGCATTTTGTATTGGATTGGATTCTATAACGATTTGGTGGCGTATTTCACGTAAAAATCCCCTCCTTATATACCGTATAATAAACGATATCAATAATCAAAGGGCCTTAATCTTCGAATGAGACCTTCAGAATAGACAATACATATGATAATGATATTGATCTAGGAAACCAGAACTGCATTCTGGAGTTTTATTGTTAAACATTGTTAGAATTCAGTTTTTTTTTTTCAATTTGACATTTTGGTTTCTTGTTGAATGCAAACAATCATGTTCCCAATTCGCCGATGCGGCTACCTTATATATCTACCTTGCCCCCACCGTAGGGTGACATACCCTGAGAGGAAATACGGTTTGAACCATTGAAGAGGAGAAGTTTATAGAGAACACTATAAGCTAACCAAAGCTGGTATGGTATGAGCTGGAAACTATTGAACATATATTCTTTAGGTGTCCATTGCTAAGTAGCAGAATACACAGACAGTTTGGCAAATATGAAATTGATAATCTAGCCTTCTTCTCCGAAATACACCCCAAGAAGATTCTAAGCTTTGTTAAAAATCTGACATGACTATAATAACCAAATTCTACACTCTTTAAACTTCCTCTATCTCTCCTTTTCTCACTTTCCTTTACTCCTTTCTTTTCAGGTACCCAGGATGAGCATAATGTACAAATGTCTCTGTGTGAACGGCTGCAAATTTCAGCCTTACATCCGTTAACCTAACCTAGTAGAAATTTTCGCTTGAAATTTTAGGGAGATATTCTTGTGAAGTTATAGGTTTAAAATAAATAAAAAAATAAGTTTTTGAAAACGAGAATGGGAGGGGTTCACTCCCTATCGTATATCTATCCCTACATACATATATGAAAATATCTAAAATGTTTGTGTATATTTAAATTTTATTTCAATAAAATATATTTACATCAAAACTAAAATGGTAAGGCTAGATTATGATTAGTACATTTTATGGAGAAATCGTTTTTATTCTACTCTCAGAAAAAATCTTAAAATAATTAATAAATATTTAATTTAAATAAATTATAATAAATATTTCAATCGCACAAACATATTGTACATACATATACACTAAACTAATATATAATAATAATCAAAAATAATATTTACAAGATTTACTTAAACGACTAGTTCGCTAGGGTAGTGTGACGTAAAACTGACAGACAGACAGACAGGATACAACATAAATTACATATTTCGAATATAAATACAATTAAAATTATAAATTACATTACAAATATTATTCATAAATATTTCTTTACATATGTATATGTGTGTAAATTAGAAATATATATTTTGTAATCCTTATAGCTAATTTTATATATATTGGATTATGACTTAAAATATTATTGCCCATTTTATTATGTTTTTTGTTTTTGTGTGTGTTTCCGCTTTACTTCATGTAGTAACTACTGGGCGCTCGGCCCGAGGTGTAGGTACTCATTGGTATCCCCTGTGGACCGGGTATGTGACTGCTGCCCACATGTGAGTGTGTTGTTGATTGATTCTGAGAGCCATATAAACGATCGACACTTGTACTGCCGATGCCATTGGCCGATGGCTCGTAATCGACATCATAGTAAATTCCAGATTGATTCTAAAATAAGTAATTCGATGTTTAGAGTCAATGTATTTTCTTTCAAAAATATTAATTATACTGACCGCTATACTGCCATTACTACGCGATTTAGGACGTGGCACCTGGAAGTTCCTACCCAACAAATCTGTGCGATCTTCCTCCTCACTTGAGCTAGAGTTATCCAAGGTTCGCATACCATTCGAACGTGAACTGAGTCCCAGTCTTCTGAAAGAAATTCTAATTAGCTAACCGATTCTGAGGTCGTTCCCAATTCAATACGCACTCATACCGTGGCAATGGAACCGGTGGAGCCAAAGTGTTGTTCTGTTGATGATGCATTTGTTGCATGGTGCTTTGCATTGACATACCACCCAATGTACCCATACCCAGAGTCTGTAAATTGGGATATGCAAACATAGCCGATGAGGGTCTCGTCGGTCCACCAATTGGCTCGGCCTGCAACAAAAATAAACAAACGACAAATTGTTAGATTCTGCTGTAATAATTATCTATGCATCTTACTCCATAGTGATTGGTCTGAGCCATAACATCGGCAATTTGAGCCCAACGCATGCGATCCTCCAAAGTAACTTGATAACCCGGTTGCGGCAATGCTGCCGATTTTAATGGTGCCGTATTCATATAACCAAATACCGGAGATCCAATTGCATTCTTCTGCTCCCTCTGCCATCTTCTGGACCACATAATCAAACACACCAATGTCAGCACGATAATAATTACAGCCAGCACAGAAGCACCTATGGCCACGCCTAAAACTTCACCATCAATTTCACATTGACCGCCGTAATGACTGCCATCACAGGTACATATTTGATTGCCTTCTTCGTTGTAGCTACAAACACCACGACTATTGCAATATGTTTCGGGACATGTCTGACATTCACGACCTGATCTATACGGTTGATCAGACCACAAATCTTTGGTACCCTCAGGACATGTACAACGGTAACTGCCCCACGTGTTGGTGCAGGTGGCAGTCGGATGGCAATCGTTAAGATCTCTCGCCTGACATTCGTCTAAATCACGTAGCGGGGATATGGCACCTTCGGGAGAACTAACAAATAGTACCGAATTACCAATATTGTTGTTGCGACGATGCAGAACACCCAATAAATGTTTCTGCACATCACTGCGTAGATTGGGTCTTAGGGTTTCAACACTTTCGTCAAGCTACAGGAAAAAGGGGGGTTATTTATAATTTTTTTTTTTTTATTTCTTTGACTCACCTTTATGGTTAGATTTACAAATACTCCACTGCCACCAAGATTGGGATCACGATATATATTGTTCACCTTAGCTTCCATAAATTCATCGGAATATGGGGTCATCGACATTGCGGAATCAATCTGAAAGATTAAGAAGTAAATTAGAATGAATTGAAATTGAGGCAAGCGCAATGGAGAAGATATGCGAATGAAAACACCACATCAAATGAGTGGAAGAGAGCAAAGTTAGATATCAATCAGTATTGTGACGTGTAGGAACTTTCGACATATGTTGTATTCGTTTATATCCATTTAATAAATCCGCAAAGTTATTTAACTTTGATAAATATATTATATATCGTTGAACTGATCTAACTTTATTAAAATATTACTATGTGTTGTTGGTTTGCCTGGTTGATACCTGTACGCCTCAACCAATATTAGGTTTAGTTACCCTTGCCCAGATTCATAGCATATGATACTATTAATCACCCTAAGCTGTTCGACGTCGCAAAAACTTTGGCGGACGCCAAGTTTGAAACGTGAAGTCAAAATGGAGTTCATGAAGATGGCGTGATATCCTCGGAATTGTTTCCAGGTTGTTTTCCAGGTCCACATCGCGACATTGAGATTATCCCATATGGCTTATACCGTAAGTTAAATTTATATCTCGTTGTTTTATCTGAGTTTTCCGCGCGAGGGAAAGTCCACGAATGCCAGAACAAGGTCAGGAGCAAGTTTCTCAAGATACTAGACGAACGTATTTGGGAAGTATATAGAGAAATCAATCTCTAAACCGATAGGTCAGTCTTTAGTAAAGTTTGCAGCAGCAGTGTGGTCCGCCAACTATATCATTTTCTCTATCAATACACAATGTTTTCAAATCGAAGAATAATATTTAACCCATCCTCTCTTTTTCGGGATATATTTAATGACAACTACAAAAAATCCAAATCTTTTTTTATACTTACAGCTCTAACAGATTCAAAACTCAACTGCCCATATGGTTCACTGGTGCGATCGGCCAATTTATTATCCCAAACAATGCGGTGTTCATAGATTCGATCCACTCGCATGCCAATATAGAATGTTATTACCCTGCGGCAAGGTTCGCGATGTTTACGACGTGAATAACCTAAAAAATAATAAAACAAGAAAATTTAAATAATCCCATGAATACAGTATATCCAATGAAGGATTCATCTATCCATCCTTCACATACCTGGTCGACAATGACAACTAGATACACCATTTTCGGTTTTACAATACTCATGTTGGGCCTGATCACATGTCGTGTCGTCTCCCACAATACAGGTGTCAATGCGAACGGGGGGTTGTGTTGTTCTCGGTCTATAATGGGGCCGTGTAGTACCAACATTTGTTGTTGTGGGCAACGATTGTTGCGGCTTAACATGTTGCGGTTTATTCGTATGGATATCCACAATTTCCGTCTCGGCCACACCATAACCTGCACTGGGCGTATTCTTTTGTGTCACTGGAGTATTACCACTACCACTGCTGACACTACTACTATTTGGATTTGGTTTGGAGGTTGCGGGCGATGACGAGGACGACAATGCCGTCGGTGGTCCCATTGGAGAACTAGGCAGTTGAGGTATAGCTGTTGCCGGGATTGGCTGCTGTACACTGGTCGGAGCATCTGTGGGATCACCAAAAAGATTGATGTAAGTACGTTTACCATCTATGGAAACAAAACCATCTTCACCTGAAGCCGAAACGATGATATCGGCACCGCCACCAACACCCGAACCATAGCTTCCGAACGGTTTGATGTTGATGGTTTGTTGCGAACCACCCTGGGAGCCGGGGCCCTGAATGGCCGATAAAGTGACATCGAATATTTCACCATATCCCGGAGGGAGTTGGTGTTTGGTCGGCTGAATATTCAGTGGTTGAACTGGATTATGTGGAAGTTGGGGCTGAGGTGGTCTTTGGGGACGAGGTCGGCCACCTGGTTGAAATTCAGGATCGTCCAAAACAATGCCGGGCCTGGGATGGTAATGCGCAGGCACCGGCGGTGTTGGAGTTGTTATTTGATTTTGATTATTGGAGGTGGGTACAGTTTCGGTAGTGGTTGTTGTGGTTGAAGAGGTTGTAGTAGAGGTAGTAGTAGTGGTAGTTGAGGTGGTAGTGGTTGTTATGGGAACAGAGGTTATTGGTGTAGGAACTATGGTCGGTATTAGATCTAAATTAGAAGATAAACTTATCGAACTTAGGTCCAATTGCTGTTCTTCAGCGGAGACGGGTTTGGTTGTAATTGCAGAACTCTTGATTTGCGACGATGACGGTGTTGGCGTATATACAGAGGAGGACGGCGACGCTGCAGAGGATGTCCTCAGTTTGGAATGTTTGGTGTTTACTGATTCCAGGTCGGGTGTTTTACTGGCTGTCATGAAAATCACTTCATCTCCCGAATTTTCGGTAGTATCCATTGGCATGGGCAAATATTGGGAGGTTATTTGCACCACAGGCAATGGTTCCACGGAACTGCTATGCACATGATCCGAATGCTTCTTCTTGTCGCTGTTTTTATGTTTGCTGGGTTTCTTTTTCGTTGGAGGATTTTGATCGTCTTTTTTGGTTTGCGTAGTTGGATGTGTAGGTGCTGCCAACGGAGCGGGTGTGGAACTTGTAGCGGGTACTGGGGGTTTATATTCTTGAATGACATCTCGATTTGATGAAAGGATATCGGTGTCATTATCGGATACCTCAATGTATTGAGAATTCAAATCCTCATTCGAAAATTCGGAATCATATGAAGTATCTGTAGGAGAGGGACCCTCAGGGGCTTCGTTATTGTTCGAATCACCAGTTGGTGTATCGATGGGTCCGGATGACTGGGTGCTGGGAACACCACTAGCTGCAGATTCGTCCTCTTCTCCTTGTGGAGGTTGTATCTGGGCTGGTGGTAAAGGTTTATATTGAGGAATTGGGCGACGTCCTCCAATAGAGGTGGTAATAGGAGGTCGTGGCTTATTGCGATGCCATGGTGGACGATTGCTTACAAATTCCGGACGTACGGGGACAATTTGTTCAGGTATTGGCACACCAGTTATGAATGGTCTTTCTGGGCGATCAAAGGGATAGGGAGGCGGTCTCATGGAAGAGGTTCCTTGGGTCTTGTGACCATTATCATAGTCTATGGGCAGAGGTTGGACATCCGAAATACGAGGAGGACCACGATTATTAATGCGACTGGCAGTAGGACGACGCACACCCTGGGTATTGGCATGTACATTAACATTGCCGTTCAGCAGCTTGACAATGCCCGTGATAATGTCCTGGATATCGGGATTGGGGTTCTGACGAGGATTATGCGGCGATACGGTAGCAGTAGCTGCTGTTAATGTCGCAGAACTGTTGTTGGCCGACGGTGTTTGGGACCCCGACATAGGTTGTCGAAGGTCCCCATTCACTAAAAAAGAACCGGTATTACTGGCAGCAGTTGCTGTAGCGACATTAACCGATTTTCCAGTACGTCCCAGGGCCTTGGTTGTTTCCATTTTGGAGCTGTCATGTTCCATGGAGCTCGTGGGTTTTATGTTATATTGAAAATAACGACCGGCAGCGGCTTCTTTTTCCGATTCGAAGGGGAATTGGACGTTATTTTGACCAGAAATGGGATATTTTTCATTGACAATCGGCAAGGCGGAACGTTGCATGCGGGTGTGAGTGTGGGTTTCATTATCAGCAAACCGTTTTGTTGATGTGACCAAAGCTTGCGTTTGTGATATATCTTTCATGCTTGTCGTAATAATTTTATCGGCTGCAGTGGTCGTTAACAGTGGATGGACATTAACCAGACCCAGATGATCTGAAGATTTTGGCGATATTTGTGATACTTCATGGTAACAATCTATAAGAGAAAAGAAAAATGAGAATATTAATGTGAGTTTGTGTGAGTGCTTTTATTTATATATGTGAATGTGGACACCTGTCTTTTTTCAACTTTAAACTAGTTTTTGTTATTTTCACTAATTAACTAGCGAAAAAAGCCATTTTAGTTCATTATCCAGAAATAACAATATAATTACACATAATTTTTTATGTTGTGAAAAATGTTTGTATGCATGTGTGTTTGTTTGTTAATGAGAGTGAATGAGGAGTACACTTGGTTTTGTGCAGAAGTAAGCAAATAACAAATCTGAAAGTTGTGAGTTTATCTATAGGGTGTTAAGTCGTAATTAAATAAATATGTATGTATTTATTTAATAGATTTCAATTTGACGACAATATTAACCCTTCAAGCAACAATGCTTTCTTTATAAATAACGCACATGAAAACCAGTAAGGAAAGTAGTAAAGTCGGACGGGGCGGACTATATGATACCCTTCACCACTATGAGTATATAAAACAGGACTATTATCATGAAATTGTATGAAATAAAATATGTGATATTTATCTACATGTGAAACGACCTAGATCTATCCCTAAACAAGTCTTTCGTTTGTTACAATGGAACAAAAGTATGTAAATCGACTTCAAACAAATATCTAAAGGTCATCCGTTGGGCTAGGTCTGTACTTCTAGAAAACCCAACTACGTTTTTCTATACTCAATTTTGTACGTTGTGCAAAATTTGATGTCAATCTAACAAATATGAGGAGTTCGATGCACAATTTACTTATATATGGATGCTATATCCAAATATGAACCGATTTCAACGAAACTTGTCACAGGTTAGGCTATACTGATTTCAGTACGTTTTGTTTTTATCAGCCATATATTGGTTCCTTGGTGCGCCAATTACTTAAAATCAATCTATAATATAAGGGAGCTACATCTAAATCTCAACCGATTTTCACTAAACTTGGCACACATTATTCTGGATTAAATTCAAAGCGCTATGCAACGTAAGAACTTGGTACATTATTTAGATTAAATCGGACGAATATATATATATATATTCAGATTTTGATATATATATATATCAAAATCTGAATCGATTTTCACGACACTCAGCACACATCATTCCAGCATCAATTCAGTATGTTATGCCAAATTTCGTGCAAATCGAAAGATATATGGGACTTTGGTGCACCATTTACATGAAATCGGACGAAGCTATATATGGGAGCTATATCTAAATCTGGACCGATTGTCACGAAACATACCAGACATCATTCTAGGCTCAATTTAGTACGTTATACCAAATTTCGTGAAAATCGAAAAATATATAGGGACTATGGTGCACCATTTACATGAAATCGGACGAAACTATATATGGGAGCTATATCTAAATATATACCGATTTTCTCGAAACTTGGCAGACATCATTCTAGGCTCAATTCAGTACGTTATGTAAAATTTCGTGCATATCGAAAGATATATAGGAACTTTGGTGCACCATTTACATGAAATCGGACGAAACTATATATGGGAGCTATATCTAAATCTGGACTGATTTTCACGAAACTTGGCAGACATCAATCTAGGCTCAATTCAGTACGTTGTGCGAAATTTCGTGCAAATCGAAAGATATATAGGGACTATGGTCCACCATTTACATGAAATTGGACGAAACTATATATGGGAGCTATATCTAAATCTGGACCGATTTTCACGAAATTTGGCAGACATCACTCTAGGCTCAATTCAGTGCGTTATACCTAATTCCGTCCAAATCGAAAGTATATAGGGACTTTGGTACACCATTTACATTAAATCGGACGAAAATATATATATGGAAGCTATACCTATCTCAATAGGGTTCGTCCTTGGGCCAAACAAATGAGCTGTGCCAAATTTCATCCAATTCGGATCATAAATGCGACCTGTACTTTGCTCACAAAAATACATGGACAGACAGACGGACGGACGGACATGCTTAAATCGACTTAAAAAGTGATTCTATGCATATTCTCAAAAGGAACCATGGGCCTATCTCGTTTCTTTTTGCCTGTTACAAACATATGCACACAGACATAATACCCTGTACCACAGTGTGGTGAAGGGTATAAAAAGATATACGAATTTAAGAAGAATTAACCTAAAGGATCGAATATAACCGTAGCATATATTTTGTATTGTAGCGATTTAGGATTTTAATTTGAAGGTTTTTCCTATAGGAAAATCTCCACTTCATTTTTATTGGATAGAAAATTAACCTTTCTGTTTTTTGGTATTTTGTATTCTCATTGAATAACACATATCCGTCCAAAAAATTTTTAATATTAAGCCAAGTTTCAGGGTTTCCCCTTATAACGGTACTCCCCAATATTCGGTATTTTTTGGGTTATCATTGTATAGAACATTTCCGTGCCATAAAGTATTTATATTGACCCAAATTTCAGGGTAGCCCCCATCGAATTATCGGTACCCGCCAATATTCGGTACTTTGGGGTTTTTGGATACGGTTTTCACATAATTGGCAGTAATTTGGTGTTTTGGGTTCTCATTGAATAACATATAGTCGTATTAAAAAGTATTAATATTGACACAAGTTTCAGGATAGCCCGAACTAAAAATTATTAATATTGACCCAAGTCATGTAATTTGTATTCTCGTTGGCTGTCAAATTTCACTACCAACAAATTTCCATATTGATCTCCGTTTTATTTTAGCCGCATTTAACAGTGACCCCACTATTAGATATTCTGAGATTATCAATCATATTTTTCTCGCGTATTTTTCGGTATGTTCAAGGTCATATCGTAATATGAGTTTTCTCCTAGGAGCCCTTCATTAATTTTAAATATTTTGATTGTCATAATCATTGTGGAGGGTAAAAAAAGTTCGATCGGGCCGAACTTAACATCGTTTTTATTTGTATTTAACACAATTAATTAAATCTTCCTACCCAAAGCTATCAGTATCGGTTATCGTTTTTGTATAGCGGTACCGATCTATTATATTCTATAAGTTTTAGCCGCATTTTTGACTGTTTTGGCATAAATGGTTCTTGAAGCCTGGCAGGTATACAGAAAATAATCAATACAGTTCCATGTTTTGACATAGCTCCAATATAAGTGTATAGCCTCCTTGTGTGTACTTTTAAGGTTTTAGCCGGATTTTTCCAATGTGGTGCCTGTAATTTTAGATTGCGGTGTATTGGAGGTAAAATATAGTTTTGCAATTTGGAACATTATTATTTTTTAAGCCTACTTCTACACCATGCACTACCATAGTCCCCGTATAATGATTCAAAACGATTTAGGAATTTTTGAATGTACACCATGTAGTGGAGATTATAAAAATGTTGGTCCGGTCGATGTAAACGGTTTTATATGTCTTTCTTTTGTGGTTAAAGTACTTTTTGTTAATACTTAAAAAATAATATTTATAATGATTCTTTCAAAGTAAATAGTTATGTGCCCGGCTGGACATAAACTAATTTCCGTTTAACATTGCAGCTATTAAATAAACGACATCCTTTTGAATATTAAATTATTTATTGTTATTTGCATAAATTACCCACGGACAATCTCACCTTGCTACGTAGACATAATTACAAAAAATTTCCTTTCAATTTCACTTTCAATTTGATGAACGTTTGATGGGGGAAAAGACATTGACCAGACCTGATTGGGACAAAAGTTTAGCATAAATGATGCAGTTCGTTATTTCATTGTCATTCGCCATACTTGCCTGCTAAACCAATTTTATTTGCTTGCTTTGGTCATGGTTAATACATATATTTCAAATGAAAATGAAATTATTTTTATTCATGTATTGTTTTTTTTTTTTTTGAATTTTGTAGTGACAAACCCCAAAAAGACAATATTCGTAATACTGGTAAATTATCAATAAAGTAAAAGTGGTTTAACCGCAGCAACAGCCACACATACAGAGCAGACAGTTGCCAGCCAGCCGCCTTCCTACAGGCCATACAATCAATAATCAAGTTGCATGTTGGTCCAGCCGTTTGCGATGGCAACCACAATTACCAATATTGGAGAAATGCATGCATGGTTATGGTCTCCCGCCGTAAATTGATATTTTTTGTCAACTTTCAATGTCGATCGAATGATTTTGAAAAAAACAACAACAACTACAATAGACTTTAAGCACGCGCGATTTTATATTCACGATTAATTGGATTTGTGTGTGCGTGTGTGTGTAGCGTTTCATGTTATTTTGAGATACATACCTATGTATGTCGGTGGGTTAATTACATGTAAATTGTTACAATTTCCAATTTTGAAAAATGTATGGCCAAAAGCATTTTTAAATTGGAGCACATAAAAATTTGGAAAATTGCCAGAGATAGGTATTTAAACGATAACAAAACGCATCAAAAGAAAAAAAAACATTTCACTAATTTATTATCGAAGAAAGTAAAAATTTAACCAATAAAAAATTCCATAGAGAGTTTGGGAACTCAAGAAACTTCAATTCCAAAGTTACTTTAAATTGGTGTCCCTATATATATTATACTTACTTCTATAAGGACCATTAGCAATACTAAATATCCTAGGGGTAGTAGCATTGTAAGCGGAAAATTTTTTAGTTCTATCTTATATATTGCCGTGATTTTAAAAAACAGACATACGGGCATGGCTTAATGGACATAGAATTTTATTCTAACCAAGAATATATAGGTGTTGCAAACAGACTGCCACACTTGATATACGCTCCACCTCATGGCGGAGGGCATAACCATTTTTCCTTTGCCAATTCTACACTCAATTTAATTTTGCAATGCAACGTAAGTTAACTAGATGTTATTTTCTTAATTTGATTATTTTTTCAGTTGCCGATGAAATGACTTTAAACACAGTTTATCTTGATTTGTGCTTTTCCACCACTCGCTAAGAAAATACAACAACAAATAAATTATAAACCTACGCAGAGCGAGACAGCCCACCAACCAGCACTTCGCTACTACGAACATTGTAAATCCCAAAAATGCGTGATTTTGTTTGTTATCATTCCAGACCATAAATGTCTGAAATGGCTTAAAAATGTTTTACTTTCTATTTCGTTCAGATCTACCTTTTTGAAATCGAAAACGCTAGCCAGCCAACCAACCAAACCAACTTAATGCCATTTGTAGTGGTGGTGGCGGTAGTGGCGGTGGCGGTGGCGGCGATGGTGGATTCATTGTATATTACTTCCTTTTTCGGGGAACAAATGACATGATAACGAAATTAACAAAAACTAACTTTTTATAAGGTAACACAAAAAAAGTTAAATGATGTCAACACTTAATATTTGGGTGTATCGTTTAAAATCGCTAACATTATAACCTCACTAAATTTTTTAGGCATCTCAAAGGCCTTTTAAGAAGTCTTTTTTTATATGAAAGAACATTAAACAATTTTTAACTTATGAAATAACTGTATCTATATGAAATAACTGTATCTATATATAGGCGTTTGGCTGAAAATTGAACGTCGCACAGTGGTTCAGAATCGATTTTCCTGGTCAAAAGTCTGTTACTATTGAACTTATGAATGTTAATCAAACGAAAAGATACGCAAAAGTCAAAAATTCAACGTTGGAATATTTTCCATCAACATATCCGTGTTTGTGTTCTATACATTTAAAAAAAATAAAATCAATTAAAAATGAAAAATAAATTAATTAAAAAAAAATTAATTGATAAATAATATTTTCAAAAAAACATATTTTCCATTACAAAGATTTTGATTTTGACAAAGATTGAACAAGTAAAAACAATGGTAATACGAACTTTTGATGCCCTCCACCATGAGGTTGACAATCAAAACATCTAAAATAAATGGGAGCTCCTAGGAGATTGAAATTCTCAGAATATCTAATGGTGGGGCTACCGTTATATGGGGTTACAGTAAATTGGAGATCACTATTGATATTTTTTGGAAGAAGAAGAATACAAAATACCAAATTACAGCTATCCTTAAACGTAGGTCAATAATAAAAATGTTTAGCAAGGAAATGTGCTATGTGCCGTTATATGATGGCTACCCTGAAATTTGGACCAATATTAATAACTTTTGGTAATATAACCCTAAAAGTCAAACATTGAATCGCGTATTAAAACAAAATAGAACCTTTAGATGATCTGAATTCCAAATAACAGACAGTTCGTTTCGAAAACGTGTCCGAAATTCCAAAAATACCGAATTTTGGGGGTACCGTTATACGGGGGCTATCGTGAAACTTGGGTCAATATTAATAATGTTTTTGTACGTATATGTGCTATACAATTCGGTTGGAAAACCCGTCCAAAATCCCCAAATTATCGAGTATTGGGGAGTACCGGGAGTACAAAATGTGGAGTATTGGGATCTACCCTGCTACTACTTGGATAAACATTAAAAAGTTTTTTGAACGGATATGTGTTATTCAATGAGAACCCAAAATGTCAAGCTTTAGCCAATTCGGTTGAAACACGTGTCCAAAATTACCAAAAAACCGAACATTGGGACAGATCGGTTGGAAATCATGTCCAAAATCCCAAAAATACCGAATACTGGGGGTACCGTTATATGGTGGCTACCACGAAACATGGGTCAATATTAATAATTTTTGGTGCGTAGATGTGCCACACCATGAGAACCCAAAATGCCAAATTACAGCCAACTCGGTTGGAAAATGTGTCTAAAAACCCACACTACGGAATATTGGTACCCCCAATATTCCGTAGTGTTATATGGGGGCTACTCCAAAACGTGGAAAATTTCAGAGCTCTGACATAAATATTGCGATCTCTATCGTGATTTCAACAGACGGACATGTGTAAATCGACATATAATTTTGTTCTGATCAAGAACATACATATGGACAATATTGCCAATTTTTTAACATAGCTGAAGCGGAGGTTCACCCCTTTATAACTCGGGAATTACTTAAGTATATGGAAAAAAATGAATAGTTTTGGGTTAATTGATCTGAATTTTTTTCGTTGCAAACTGTTCATGATATTGACCTCCAAACTTTATTTTGGTGGAAGCTGTGTCTACTTTAATGTAAAAAAATGTGTAAAAACAGGTTGAGGCGAACCAGTTTTTTTATGTTCTCTATCGATTTGTGATTAAGCCACTCATTTCACGGTCTTCGTGTCAAAGTAAAACTAGAAGCCAACAAAATGGGGACTATCATTTTTCAAAATTTGAACTGCATCTACCTTTGAATGATGCTGACATTTTGAAGCTCGATTTTGAGTGTTTTTTGAATTTTACTTCTAGCTTTAATACGCAAACAGGAATTTCTTAAAATCGATTATAAGATTATTGTAGTCGCGAATATGAGTAATTTAATATATATTTTGTGTATGTAGTATGCACAGCTTCGGAGCAATTGTGCGATCAAATTTCTAAAAAACCTATTTTTCGGGCCAAATTTTTAGATCTGTCAACTGAATGATACGGGTACTCGCGATCAGTAAGGTTTTTTACGTTTCGGATGATATAAAATCTTCTTTGTGAAAATCCATCAATTAGAACGGCGGGAACTGGCCTTCCAAAAACACGAAATTTGGAAAAAAATGTTTTTGAAAATATCGCGGATTTAATTGTATTTTCTGTGGATCATTTCCGCTTCAATAAATGACCTCATAAGGATTTTGATCTTTTTCGAAAAGAGAACTTTAAAAACTTCAGCCGAGAACTTAAAAACTTCATTTGACGCCTAAGATGTGCTACATGTTGCATTGAAGCACCCAAAAACTCGTAAAACGCGAATAATTTCCGAAAACTCCATTTGCCATTAGATTTTGTATATATTTAAATTTTTGGGCCAGATCACACTATTTTTGAGATAAATTGGGTACATCTCAATTTATCTCAAAAATAGTGGCGAAATTCGGATAAAATAGCAAAATAACCCCAACATTTTTTTCTGAAATTTCATGTATAAAATTTAAAAAATAAATATAATGACATTATTTTTTCGAACCAAAAACAAATATTTTTCCTCAATATCTTGGTTTGTTGTCGCTGTAATTTACAAACCGCTAAACATACTTGTGTGATTTTGATATCATCGTGGTCTTTAGATTATGTAGATATTTTTTAATTAATATTTTTAATTATAAAATTTTAGAACTGTGTGTGCATGTCAGCTGATTTTTTGAAAATGGAATATTAAAAAATTGGCAATATTGCCCATATATACGTTGTGGTGAATATTTCGAGATTTTGCAAACGGAATGATAAATTTAATTCAACTAATGGTGGAGGGTATAAAATGTGACAAAATACTGGAAAAATTGCGTATTTCGTTATGGTGTCGACACCAAAACCTTAAAGCAATTTAATACCATAGACAGACGACAGCCTTAATTTGCTTTAAAAAGTTCCTAATTTGAATTAATATTTACCCCTGACAACTAGTTTGCGCGCATTTACGAAACAGTTTTTGCTTCAAAACAATTGTTTGTCTGTGTGTAGTATGAAATTTTTTCACATTTGTTTCGATATTTTTCGGGATTACATCTTTAGGAAATAGATACATGACATAAAGGAGGAATAGCAACTATTTTTGAAAATGGCTCCCAATTAAAAAATTGAAATTTGCCTTCATTTCTTATTTTTATTTTCATAAATATAAATAAATTTGACAAGAAACAATTAATTTTCGACAGCATTGCCATATTGACATTGCCTAATTCAGTATAAATTCAATTTGATTTTGTGCATTAACAACACATAAAAATGAGGATAATGTACAATTTAATTTCAATTAAGGCTGTTAATGCAAATTAAGGCTGTCGTCTGTCTAGGCTATAAGTTCATGAAAAATGAATGTATGCCATTTCTGTGAACGAACCCCATTGACTTCATTAATCCAGTTTTTCACAGAGCTAAATGTGTTTCAGCATACAAAAATTTATATTCATCGATTTCGAAAGTTCTGTAAATGTTCACACGTTCGGAAAAACGTCACGAGATCATTTCATTTTCTGGCAAATTGATTTTTCAATTCAATGAACAACATTTTGGTATTTTGGATTTTAATTGAATAGCTCATTTCCGTTCCAAAAATTATGAATATTGACCCAAGATCCAGGGTAGCCACCATATAACGGTACCCCAATTCTCGGTATATAGGGGATTTTACACAGATTTTCCAACTGAATTGGTTGTAATTTTGCATTTTCGGTTCACATTGAATAACACAACACATGGTCGTATGCCAAACCGTAATGGGTACGTTTATGGTAAAAATTTCAAAATGGAAATACCAGACATTGGCGTCTAGGCCAGAATTATCATCCTATTCCACATGATCCTTTTGAATACCGAGGGTATTGAAAAGAACTAGAAGAGGAATCGAAACAAAGACATAAAATACGTGTTTTATTGTTTATTCTTACTGAGCACCTCAGCCTGCAAGTACATTAATCCCGATCTTGTGAAGAATGTTGTCGTAATTCGTTTATGTTTGTATCCTCTAATATGATATGGTGTTTTTTGTGGTCAATTCCATTCTGCTTTGGAAATATATCAAACATCTAATTATGAAATATCAAAATGTTTCTTGGAAACCTTGTGAGGACTAAAAAACTCCGAAACCTTCAAAAATAAGAAAATGTGATCATGTTGGCATTACTGGTAACGAGTTTCAACAACCTACCACAATCATTTTATTAGTGTTCAGTTTGTACAAATTGTAATTGTTGTGGCACGACTTGGTTGGTCGCGTAACATGGCTAAGATACACACAAACTGTCATTATCTACACACATACTCGTATACGAACAGAGTGTTGTGTAAAGTTTACCAACCGAAAAGCGATGAAACAAACCTTTTCGAATGCAAGAAAAACAGTCAACCAACAAAACAGAAGATAGAAAACGTACCTCCCCCACACACTCAACGAAATGACATTACGAGTATTCGTAACGATTTTAATTAAATGGTTTTTGTTTTGGTTTCTGCATTATGATAATGACGGTTTGTATGGTAAATAGTAGAAGCGACAATAACATGTCCCGATATATAAACATGACATACATACTTACATATACATATGAATTGCACAAATATACTTCGTATATATGACGGAACTAATGTAAGTTGTTATTTCGGTTGTTGTTTTTGTTCGTCGGTATTATGAAATCGCCTAAAATTGTAATTAATTTAAACTCAAACAATGTCACTTTTACTCGAATCTGCG